GACATTAGTAGGCAGTACGTAAGGAACAAGTACATTGGGAAAGATGAAGATTGCAGAGTGGAGGGATGGTTGTAGGATTGATCTGATAGAGAAGCCAAGAGGGGAAGAGATCAGAAATATTTGTAGAAGGGATGGCCTTGGAGAGAAGAAGGGCTACTTCATTATCAGAGACTGGAGTCAAGAAGGAGACAATAAAGATGACATCAGAAAATTCAGAGGTAGAGAGAAATGTAGACAAGGAAACTCACAATGAATTGCTTCAATTTTCTCAGGAAAGCATAAGGCAAGCTTCTTATATGAGAGTGAAAAAGGGAAGGCTATCACAGCTGGTTCATCCAGTCTCTGCTTGAAGACTTCTCATAAAGGGAAGCCACTATGGAGAACTCATCCCATTTCTAAATAGCTCTAATTATTAGAAAGTTTTTTTTATATCAAATCCAAATCTACCTCTCTTCCACTTCTACCCTTGTTTCACCCCCTAGGGTCAAGAAGAACAAGTCTAATCCCTTTTCCACAAGGCATCCCTTTCAATAATTGAAAACTGCTGTCATGTCCCTCATAAGCCTTTTGTTTTCTAGGTTAACCATCCCTGTTTTGTTTCGATTTTTTTTCAACTGAACCTCATCTGTCATGTTCTCCAGTCTTCTCACCATGACAGTCACCTTTTTCAGAACACACTCCAGCTTGTCTAAGATTTTCCAAAAATGAGGCTACAAGAACTAAGCATAGTACTCCAGATGGGGCAGATTATAGTGGAACTACTACTACTTGGTTTTGAAAAGCTTTTTTTTTTGGCTGTCATGCGACACTGTAGACACACTGAGTTTGTAGTCCATTGAAACCTAGATCATTTCCCTCGGGAACCGTTATTTAGTCATATCTCCCTATCTGATATTAATAAAATCGCTTTTTGGAACTCAGGCATAGATCTTTATATTTATGCCCATTAACTTCCATCTTATTAGATTTGTCCTATTGTTTCAGCCTGTCAAGACCTTTTTGGATCTGAACTATATCATCTGTCATGTTGGTTATCACATCATCTGCAAATCTAACAAGCTTATCACCTATTCCTTTATTTTAGTAACTGACAGAAACATTGAAGAGCACAAAGTCCCTGGGACTAAATCCCTGGGACATTGCACTAGAGGCCTCCTTCCATGATATTACCCATTGATTATAGTATAACTTTTTATTCAGTCGTTGAGCAAGTTCTAAATACACTATTGTTCTAGCCCATACCTCTCCATCTTACACAGTAAGAATAGCAAGACACTATTAAATTATTTGCTAAAATCTGTGCATATAATATCTACATATATTCCTCTGACCAGTCAGTTCTGTTGTCGAAAAAGGCATAATCTTTTTTTTTTTAATGAAACCATGCTGAGTCTTTGTGATGACTACTTTTTCTAGACGTTCACTAATTCTCCCCATAATAGCACATTCTAGAATTTTGCCATGAATTGAAACTAAACTAACTGGTCTGTTGTTCACAATTTCAATTTTCATTCTTTGGGGGAGACACATGCCCTCCTTCAGTCCAGTAGTCCAGTAGTGTTTTACCCATTCTGCAAGGTCTTTCAAAAATCATCAACAGTAGCTCAGCAGTCACATCTGCCAGTTTTTTCAGTATCCTAGGGTAGTCCATCTAGGCCTGATGACTTCAACTCATTGAGGGGAGTTAGCTTTGCTGATTGTCTCCTCACTGATCCTGGGTTTTTATTCCTGCCTTACCATTTTTGTTCTGTACTTCCCAGTTAAAGATCATTCTCCTTGGAAAAGAAAACAAATAGGACTTGAATAGTTTGGCCTTTCATAGTAATCTGTTATCCGTATCCCATCGTTCCAGCTTGCAGTCCTATCCCTTGTCTGATCCTTCTCTTGCACATCCACCACAATCAAACCTTTTTGTTGTCCTTAACATTTATAACTAGCCTCAGCATTCTAAGCTTTAGTCTTCCATGTACTCTTCTTATAGGACCAATCTACTCTGTTGTAGCCATTCATTACTTGCCCTTGTTTCTATCTTCTAAACATGTCTTTTAAAAACGTAAGTTTATAAAATAAGTTCCATGTGCATCACATTGTTCTCTTTACCTCTTATCTCACCCCCTTTATTCCCACTCACTGGAAAAATTTCTGCTTCTGTCTTTGAAATTTTATTCTTGAGCCCTCACATCTCTCTTGGCTTGACTTCACTTTCAAAATATTAGGCCATTGGATTCTCTGAACCCTTTCAGTACGCTCTGCAAAATTTAGGTTGCCTGTAACTATGTACATCTTTTTTTCTTTACTCCAAACTTTATAATGGAGAAATAACTTTCAACAAAGGTTCCTTTATGTCTACTTTTTCAACCAGTTCCTCTTTGTGTCATAATCAAGAGACTATCTTTATCTTACCCTGCTTTTAAGTATTTTTCTATTACTTGGCAAGTCAGTTAACTTGCATTTCTGTTTATTCATAGGAGGAAATAAATAATAACTGATAGGATATATAAAAACTATAAATGTATTTAACTGTTTCTACCAGTGATAAAGTTATTCCACATGTACTAGTACTTCTGTATCAGATATTGAGTCAATAGAACACCATTTAGTAAGACTGGTAAATTTATTTTTCAATGTACTAGTTAACAAAAGTACCCAACTTGTATTCAAGAAATAATTCGTGTACCATGAAAATTTTAATAATTTACAAACATAATTTTGGAAGTCCTATGTGTTGCTCAGTGATGTTAATAGAAATTATTCAATAATACAAGTGTAGTCTCTGTCATTATCTGTATGAAGGGTACAGAGAGAAGAAATGGGCTTAAAATGTGAAAGATTAATACTACATGTTAAGTAAGACTTTTTAATGGTGGAGTGTTTTATAATGAAATATGCAAAAGAACCTTCACAAACAAGATAGATTCTAATCTGGATTGGAGTGAACTAGTTGTTTTTATATTTTATATGTATGTAGTTATTTATATGTTGTCTCCTCCATTATAATGTATGCTGCTTGACAGCAAGGACGTTTTTTGCCTTTCTATTTTCAGCTCTTAGCACAGTGCCTCTTACATAGTAAGTGCATAATAGATGCCTGTCAACTGACTTTTCCAACAATTGATGCACTTCCTCTTGCAGAATCATAAATTCATCCTCCAGAGTAGAATTTTTTAACCAGAAGTTGTGGCAAGAAGGTGCAGATTTTTCTATGGTCTTCAGGGAAGGTTAATGGGGTAGCCAGTGCTTTAACTCCCTTCAAGGAAAACTGATGGCAGCCCCATCCCAAAGAGAGGGGAATACTAGAAGGGTCAATATAGAACCATATTGCTGACTAATAGAAATATCTTATCAATCATTCTTTTTGTTTCCAAAAGGAAAGTTATAATTGTAATCAATATTAAGAACGAAGTTAATTATTATAATACGCATTACATGTGCAATATATATTATATTATAAGCATTAAGTGTATTATATGTTATTATATTTTTAAAATATGTTTCATCAGAAGTTTATATATAACTGAAAACAATTTAATATACTTATGAGCCAGTCAGTTTTAGAGCTTAAATCTTTGGGTAACCAATATTTGGTTTTGTAGTCATTTGAATTTATGATTCGCAATTTGGTAAGATATGTGAGTAATTCAAGTATTTGAGTGTTTACATTGTATACCATTACTGTTCTAGGCATGTCAGATTCTTATTCTGAGAAGGGTGGCCAGCCCCTGATGAAATAGATGGTCATTAGGTGCCCATAATTTCAGGCTTGTTTTTTGTGGAATACTTAGGGAAGTGTTTTAATCAGCCCCAAGCCTTATGTGACTTTTTATCTTGCTAGAATGATTGAGATCATACACAAATACAATTATTGTGTACCATATTTATTCAAATTTCTCCATCCTTCCCTGCCAAAATCTATATTATACAACTCTTGAATACTGCCAACAATTGGTTTGATTTTTTTGTAATTTTATGCTGTTTTTTTCTTTTCAAATGCTATTTCCTTTTAGACTATGTAGCCTATATTCAGAGACATCCTGTATTTTGATCAATACCATAACTCATGCTGGCTCATTATCCACAATGATGGTTAATGATGAAGCACATCTTCGATTCCAGTAATTATCCTAATATTTTATGTTTCCAGCTTGTTACTCAGGAAAGCATGATCATATGTAACATTTCCTTTAGCTAGATTCTATAACTCCAGACACACAATTATAGTTGCTGCTTTAATTCAGACCTTTCTAATTGGATATGTGGAGCTTATTTTCAGTAGTACTAGTAATACATTTAGATTTCATAATACCAGTCTTTCTGTAGTGATGTCCTAACCTCCAGGTCCTTATCATGTTGTGGACATGGGTTCCTAAAGACTATAAGCAAAACATAAGGTCTGATATCCTCTGCAAACTACACAAAGTGCTGACTTCGGAATTCAAATCGTAGCTCTGCACTCACTGCCTATATGACCTTGGGCAAGTCACAACCTCAGCATCCTCATCTACAAAAAAAGAGATTTGAATTAAATTAGATTCCATAGTCACTTCAAACTCTATATCTATGATCTGAAAGTCTATTGTTTGAGATCAGACAACAAAATTTAGAGAGATTCAACTCCAGAAATTTGGCCAACAGGTAATGAATTTTTTCAGCTACAGCAACTCATGAAAACCATTTATTATGGCCTATAGGTATTGTTATCTATACTGGTGGAAGGAATGCTCAAAATAATGAAATTAGGCCCCTTATAATTACATTGTACTCAGGTTTCTAACACAGTATCCAACAGATATTGTTGATGTTACCAAAGAAATATGACATTTCCCTTGCCTCAAAGAAACTTAACAAACCACTGTCTGCAGTTTGAAACAAATTGAAGTATGGGAGATAAAATTGAACCAGGCACGCAAGAATAGATAATGGCAATGTATTTTTGTGGTTATAATTGCGTTTTCTGAAAAGTTGCTGATTATTTAGTAATATAATACTATTTTTGTTTTCAGCTTTCAGAGGAGTCACAAGAAAAGGATGAAGAAACTGAGGAAGAAAATGAATTTCCATCTTTTTCAAAATCGTTACCACCTGCACCAGACAAACAATTTATAGATTTTTCTAATCTTGAAAAAACTGTCAAAAATGAAACTCGAAAGACCTATAGTACCTCAGGTGTATCAAATCCCCGAAGACAATTTTCTGGACCCTTATATAATGCCTCTAATGGTAGTGGTAAGAGTACCAAAAATCCACGGAGGTTTCAGTTATTTACTTCAAAAGCTCCTAGCGGAGATCTCCTAGAGAAGCATTCTACACGCTTTACTAACAAGCAGCTGCCGTTTACTCCTCGCACTTTAAAAACAGAAGCAAAATCTTTCCTTTCTCAATATCGATATTATACACCAGCTAAAAGAAAAAAGAGCACCCACGATCAATTGATTGAGGCAGAAACCCAGACTGACTTAAGCAGGTATTGAACATATTTAGTAATAATGATTGATTAGTTTAGGATGTTACCAATTAAGATATTATTTTTTTTTTTTTAGATCAGGCATTTTTTAAATAGCACAAGTGTCTAAGCAGTCTTTTGGTTGGGGTGGGGATGATAGGATTGGAACTTGTATGTGCATCATTAAAAACTCTAATAAGTGTTAGGCTAAATGAGAGGAAATGTTTTAATCAATTGACTGTTACATCAGGTCCTTTATAAACATTAATTGTTTAGGCCAAGAGTGGAGAACCTGTGGCCTTAATGCCACATGTAGCCTTCTAGGTCCTTGGGTGCAGCCTTTTGACTGAGTCCAAGTTTTACAGAACAAATCCTTTTATTAAGGCAATTTGTTCTGTGAAGTTTGTATTCAGTCAAAGGGCTGTACTTGAGGACCTAGAAGGCCACATAAGGCCTCAAGGCCTCAGGTTCCTCACTCCTGGATTAGGTCATTGTTTCAGGCCTAACTAGGGGTAGCAACAGAATCTGTGCATTGAAAAAAAATTATGTATTTTTTCCAAGTCATCCCTGTGATGTCATATTCATTCAGTAGTTATGAGTACAGTAAGATGGAGTGATTAAAATAAAACAGAGAACTCTTCAGATATTTTCTTTTCTTCCGTGGTTAGTCATTTGATGAATACTTAAATTTCCCCCCACAGATGTCACTTATCCAGCAAATTCTTCTAACATAGGAAGAAAAAAATCCTTCAGGTTACATTGGATCATCAGTGAACTAAATTGTGACAATAGTTTCCTAAGTGATCTTCTTGTGATTCAAGACAGTTGTATACCTCTCCAGGAGTCACTCTGAGTGTTCTAGAGTTAGTATAGGAAAGTGAAAAGAACCCCAGATCTAGAGGTAGAAGACTGGGGTTCAGTTGCTAGTTCTTCCAGGTACTGGCTGAGTGACTTTGGGGCAACTCCCTCATTCTCTGTACCTCTGTTTACTCATATGTAAAATGTGGAGGTGAAACCACAGGACCTCAAACGGGGTCCCATCCAGCTCTAAATAAAATACTTTGAGTTTATAGAGTGAAGGAATATAATTCTTTCTGTGTTTTCTTACAATTCTAATATATAATAGAGTAGTAACTCCATTATGATACTGTTATGGAGAATAGGACTGTTACTTTACTTACAGGCTAACTAATATGTCATGCATTTTATTTTTTGCTTATTATGTTTAAGAGAGTGAGATTGTTTTGACAAAGGATATGTGAAGAAAGCTGTTGCTGAATTCAAAAAAGGAACATAGGAGTATAGATTTAGAACTGGAAGGGACCCCACAGGCAAAGTCTAACACTTTGATTTTACAAATGAAAAGAACAAAACTCAAGAGAGGTTAAGTGACATACCCTGGGTTTCACAAGTAGTAAGTGACAAGCAGGATTTGACCACAGATCCTCTTTCTCCAGAGCTAGAGTTTTTTCTCCTATACCACCCTGATTTTTCTTCTTCTGTTATGCTTACATAAAATTGAGGAGTTTTTTTAATAAAAATAATAAGAAATTTAGAAATTTTTTTGATCTTTCAATTCAGTGGTCATCTTAAGTAGTACAAATAAATTTACATGAATTCTACTCTAAATGCATAGAAATTTCATTGATATTAAATAAATGAATTATGGAATTGATGCCAAGATGAGTCTGGGATATCTTTGATTTATATAATGCTTTTAAAACTTACAAAATATTTTCCTCTAACAACAATATTAGATAAGTAGTACCTGTCTTATTAATCCTATTTTATGGATGAGAAGCTGGAGATAGAGAAAGAAAAACTCTGTGTGCCTTTTCTGGAGTTTTTGATTTTTAGTAATGATGAGATTCAAAAATAGATAAAGCAAAAATGCTCAAATTAAAAATCTTAAGTTCACTGGTTTCCTAACCAGCCATCTTTAGTGATAGTCATGAGAAGTGAAATCTGACCAAGTTCTGGCCAGAGGCATGTTTAAACCTCAGACTAGATATTGTTCCCTAATAACAGGTTGACTGTATTATTGAAAGTGACATTTCATTTAAACATGTTGCCATACATATCTTTATAGTTACATGTACTACTTCTACACAAATTTTATCTTTATTGCAATTTCTGCTAATAAATATGTCTTTTGAAATATTACAGTTTTAAAACTCATTTTGTGTCAGCTGAGTTGAACAATATAAATTCAGAAGAAGTGATCATAAATGAGGTAAATATAAAAGGTCTTATTATTCTTATATTTTAGTTATAGATACATTGATATGAACCTGCTAAAATGGAGACTGGAAAATGTAGAACAACCGGTAATCTGTACTTTTAGTAGAACCTTGAAGATTGTGATGTATGTAACAATGTACATGAATCCAGTCTGCAGTAATGGAGAAATCACTCATTGAGGAAATCGGAGATTCACTCAAGTATTGACAAAGTGATGCATGCCTAAGTGTGTATATTATGGCCAAAATACTGAACTATCTGCAAATAAATGTTCCTGTGACTAGCCAGGTGGATGCTACACAAGTTCAGATGATCATTTATAAGCTAATTTTATCTGATTGTTTAAAAGCTAATTTTTTCTGCATTTGGGTTATAGAATGTGTGTCACATATTACATTTAATTGATACCAATGTGTTTAGAATTATGTTTGCAAAGGAACCAAGTAGAATTAAGTTTAAAAATTAGCTAAGAATTTTGCCCTTAAACCATCTATATCTCCTTTGCTTTTATCACAGAATCTGAGTTCAAGGAACTCTTGAAGCCATCTGGTCTAAACTATATCTGAATGAGAATCCCCTCTGCAGCATGTCCAACAAGTGATATTCAGTCTTTGCTTGGAGACCTCTAGGGAGCGAGAACCCACCACTTCTAATAGCAGCGTGGTCCAGTTTTAGATAGCTCTAATTGTGAAGAGGTTTTTCCTTATATTGAGCTGAAATCTACCACTCCCCACTTTTCATCCATTGCTCCTAATTTTTGTTTCTGGGGTAAAATTGAACAAATCTAATCCCTGTTTCATATCACATCCCTTCAAATACTTAAAAACAACTGTAACATACAAATTACCCCTAAGTCTTTTATTCAGGCCAAACATCCTCACTTCCTTTATTTGATCCTCATATGGCATGACCTCCAAACTCTTCACATTGTGCGCCTCTTTGGCACACTCTATAACTTTTCAATGCCCTCCTAAAGTGTGTGGTGCCTAGAACCAAACACAACTACAGATGTGTTCTGATCAGGAAAGATTACAGCAGGACTGTCGCCTCTATTATTTTGGATGTTGTGCTTCTCTTAATACAGCCTAAGGGTGCATTAGTATGTTTTCCCAGTTGGCATATAGCCCTGTTGATTTATATTGAGCTGGAAGTCAACTAAAACTGCCAAATGATTTTCATAGGAAGTGTAATCTATCTATACTTTCCCCATCTTGTACTTAATGAAATTGATTTTTTTAACCCAAGTATAAGACTTTACATCTATTTCCACTGTTTCATCATACTAGATTTAGCCAAAAATTCAAACCTTTTGAATTTATTCTGGAACCTGATTTGGTCATCCAGTATGTTAACTAACCCTTCAAGTTTATATTATCTGAAAAAATTGATAAGTACTATCCAGATCATTGATAAAAAAAATTTAAATATCCCATAGCCAAGGATACATCCCTGAGGATGGAAGCATTCCACTAGAGATACCGCTTCCTAAGTTGACAATTGCACCATTAGCTTCTCTTTGGATTTGGCCATTCAACTACCTCTAAATCCTTCTCCTTTTGAATAAGGTTTACTTTCCTTGCAATATTCAATTTTATTTTATTCATGAGTCCTATTCCACCTACCTTTAAGGAAAAATTTGCCTCCTTGAGGTATGATCTCTAGTTCATCTTGATGCTTTGTGCATTTGGCCATGGGTCTTATATTGCTTTCTTGAATTTAGGTACCTGTGAATTTCTGAACATCTCTACTTTTTTCCTATACTTTAGCCACTTTCTATGGAATCTAACTCTATATAGATATACATAGGCACTTTTAATTTTTTAAACAGTATTTTATTTTTTCCCAATTATATATCAAGACAATTTTTAGCATTCATTTTTACAAGATTTTGAGTTCCAAATTTTTCTCCCTTCATTCCTCTTCTCCCCTTGTTTTAAAATGGTAGACAATTTGATGTAGGTTATATATGTGCCGTTATGTAAAATGTATTTCCATATTAGTCACAGTTGTGAAAGAAGAAACATCACAAGGGGGAAAAAACATGGAAAAAAAAGTAGGTGAAAAAAGTATGTTTTGATCTGCATTTAGAATCTATCATTCATTATCTGGATGTGGATAGCATTTTCCATCATGAGTCCTTTGTACTTGTTTTGGATCATTGTGTAGCTGAGTATAGCAAAGTCGCTCATAGTTGATCATCACACAGTATTGTGGATACTGTGTACAGTATTTTCCTGGTTCTGTTCATTTCACTTTGCATCAGTTTATACAAGTCTTTCCAGGTTTTTCTGAGATCTGCCTGTTCATCATTTCTTAAGGGACAATAGTCTAATTCCATGACATTCATATACCACAGCTTGTTCAGCTATCCCCTAGTTTATGGGCATCCCTTCACTTTCCAATATTTTCCCCCATGAAAAGGGCTGCTTTAAATATTTTTGCACGTCTAGGTCGTTTCCCCCTTTTTATGATCTCTTTGGGATACAGATCTAGTTGTGATATTGCTGGATCAAAGGATATGCACAGTTTGGTTGCCCTTTGATCTGTTTGTTTGGTTTTTTGGTTTTGGTTTTTTTTTTTTAATTTTAAAACCCTTTTGATTAGATTTTCAAGATTCCAGGGAAATATATATTTTAGTAGCCTTTATTAGGTACTCTCCCCATTCCTTATCAATGGCCTGTGTTTTAAACCAAGTACTAGCAATCCAAATCCCATCCTTAGGTACTTGACTTTTTAACCAGTTAATCACTTTATGAATTTGCCTTTTCTTCTAAACAGTTCTTGTCTATTCAACAAATATTTATTAGATACTTGCTGATTGCTAAATGCTAGGAGACAGATAAAATGAAGTTCCTGCCCTCAAGGAGCTTATATTCTACAAGAGGAAAAGAGTATGTACACAGCTCAATATATAAATATTTAATACAAGGTGAATGCAAATTTATTTTTAGGGAGAGAATAATAACAAGTTGAGTTTCAAGAATGGTCTTCAGTAGGAGGTGGCTTGTGAACTGAACCTTGAAAGTAACTAGAGATTTCAGAAGGTAGAGGTAAGGAGGAAGAGCAAAAGGAAATATCATATATAGCCTGTGCTGTAGGAGTATCAAGTTGGCAGCTATAGTGGTCATGTGAGTGGGGAGATATGGTCTAGGAAAGTACAGGAGTATGTAATGCCTGGAGTTTGCAGAGGAAACAACTATCTGTATCCCTAACACCCTCAATTTCTAATGTAGGACTTCATAATCCTTATCAGTGCTTTCTAGATTTCTTTTGACAGTGTAATTTGTGATCACACAAATCCCCAGAAGTGTGTAGAAGTCATCAGGTTTGACAGGTCCTAGGTAATTGTCTGTCACATTCTGTATATTTATGTTTTATTAAAGGAGTTTCTACTACCACTATAAGTTTTTCATATCTTTCCTATCTTGTATATAATATATCTTGTATAAAATAGCCTGCTGTTTTAAAATTCAAACTTACTGTTTGAGAAAATTGATCAACTCATTAAATGAACTCAGAATTGGACAATGAATTGAGACCATCCAATTACTCCCTTCTACTCACTTGGTAACCTAAGACTCTTAGGCACAGAGGATTAGCTGTATCATGTTTTCATTTCTTCTGGTGTTTACCTAAAAAGGAGTGAAAGCACAAAGGGCCATTTTCCATTAATGAGATGGTACACTTAATATCTAATAGAAAGCACTAATATAATTGAATTGTCATAATGATTATGCAGATGATTTCTACTTCTTCCCTCCCCCTCTTTACAGCAGCACCATTGTGATTTATTATGGAGCTCTGTGGCTCCAAGTTAATAGCATAAAAAAGCCAAAAAGTATAATGAACTCAATACTAATGTTGTATCTTCCTATTTCAGAATACACATCTCTATGGGTGATATAAGGTGAACTATTCTTATAACCAGCCTGGTCCCCAAAGTTTTTCTGGGTTTGAGGAACAGATTGTCCTTTCAAGTTCAAATCTGATTTTATGCCTTTTGGGACCCTTTCTTAATATTATTTAAAATGTTATCTGAGCTTTCATTAAGGTTGCACAGTAAGAAAAAACATCATTTTGTCCTATTTGTATTAGTTAAATGCTTAATATCTGTCTTAATTTGTTGGAAGATAGAATTATCTTATCAGTAACCCTTATCCATTATAAATTTCTGTTTGTCTTCCTTGATTTTTTGTAATTTATTTTTATGTAATTTTTTTTAGTTATAAATCATTAAAACAGTAAAGATTTATTCTTTCATTACAGCCCAAGACATCCAATTGGAGAACATATAGAATGAAGGAAAAAATTATTTCTCCCCAGAACTTCCAGGGTAACTTGGCCTGGGAGAAAGTTAAAGAAGATGTTCTTCACTACCCATTATCAAGGTAAAGTTTTCAGAATAATTTCACTTATTCTACATCTTCATATTTTATCTTCTCTTAAGCTTTAAGACTTATTAAATATTGTCATCACATATCATTATAAATTCCCTTGTCTAGAAGCACATTCTGACACAGTAAAATTTCATTTTAATGTGCTATTTTAATGAAACTAGCCATTGTACAAAAATAAAATGATCAGTAAAAATTTAATTGATGATTATGAGCTTTATATAAATGAAATATTTTAGTACATTTTGTATAACCTAATTCATTAATGAAGGAAAAATTCAGTTCAACAAATATTTGTAAAGCACCTATTAGGATCAAAGCACTGTCTGAAATAAACAGAACATTAGTGCATTCCATTATTAAGGATAGGACGGGGACTAGACCTGCAATTTCATTGATATAGTAAACTCTCAGATGAGGAAATTTCATCTACCAAAGTAGACTGGCTCCTTCTCTTCAATTGAAGTCACAGAGAGATTCCTAAAGCCCTACAATTGTACATAGATGACATCGCCACAGTATGTTAGAGGCCAGACTTGAACTCAGGCTCTATGGTCAGCTCCTGGTCCACTATGCCATACTACCTCTCATTCCATTATTATTCTAATAAAGTAGACTATTTGTCTATAACATTTTAGAGTCAATTACCAATTTTCAACTTCCTAAGATATCCAAATGATCTAAATACAGTTTGTAAAAGTGGTGTTCTCCATATGATAAACTCCCCATTTGAGAAGTAATATTTATGGCTTCAAATGTAGTACATGCTAAGACACCCAGAACTCTCTCCCCATAGATCATGATGACATGTTGTTATTGTACTCATTCTCTCTGCTTTTAACATTTAGTAGGTTTAAATTTGTCATATATTTCTGTGTTATCCTTAGTCACAGCATCTAAATGAAAAGCAAGTTGGAGGCTAAAGTTGAGGGAAGAAAATTACACATACCTTATATGGCTCTCTTTTAAAATATTGTGATAGATTTTTTTTCTTACAAATGCAAAGATGGCTCTTACTCTCACCTATCATGATGTTCTATCATGAAATATAGGTGACCCTGGGTTCTTCAAGACAATCCTAATAGAGTACAAACTCAAGCAGGGCACACTAAGCTTCAGGTATCCATCCAGTAACTGTTTGGCTGTCCGTAAATTTTCACCAGAAGGTTGACTACCAGGTGATGATGAGAGAGTTTTCAAATCAGTTAGAAAAGATGCATTTGAAGGAGCAGCTAGGTGGCGCAGTGGATAGAGCACTGGCCCTGAAGTCAGGAGGACCTGAGTTCAAATGTGGCCTCAGACCAAACACTTGACACTTACTAGCTGTGTGACCCTGCGCAAATCACTTAACCCCAATTGCCCAAAAAAAAAATGCATTTGAAGCTCCAAATGGTGTGTTCAGGGCAGTGGGAGTATATCATACCCCCTTGATTTCTCAGGTTCATGACAATCAAGTATTCACAGAATTCTATATTCGGATAGTCAGTAATCACTTATTAAGTACTGTGCCAGGCACTTTACTACGTGCTGGAAATAAAAAGACAAAACCAAAATAGTACCTGCCCTCAAGAAACTTACACTCTATTAGATGAAACAGTATACATGTATAAATAAATACACAGTACATATGATATAAATGCAAATTTATGTCATAAATACAAGGCAGTTTTTATGAGGAGATGTAGTACCAGATGGGGGAGGAAGGATAAGGAAAGGCTTCATGAGGTATGAGGGAGTGCTTAATCTGAGCTTTGAAGGAAGCTAGTATTTCTAAGAGCTGGAAATGAAGAAAGTTTATTTTAGGCATGAAATATAGCCAATGCAAAGGCATGAAGACTAGACACATTTTTCTATGAATGGAGGGGAAATTTTGTATTCTACATCTATTTAACCCAAAATTTAAAAAGTGAAATATTAATTTGTGTATATTTTTTGGAAGTGTAGAAATTAGATAATATTGACATAGCTCAATAATCTTAACATTTACCAGAATGACTACCTCAAAACTCAGAATCTATTCTACTCCTTTGGTAGCCCAAGACTGGTAGGAAGATTAGTTGTATCACAGCTTCATTTTTTCTGGTATTTCCCTGAAAGAAGTAAAGGAACAAAACACTATAAGAAAAGACAGTATCTTCTGTAGCATCTAGCACAGTAATAAGACATGTCAGCGATCACTAAATATATACTAAAATGAATGTTGATTGGATTAATACATAAGGAAACTGTTTACTATTTATCACTGTAAAGAGAACTGTATTTGTTTAAATATTTTCAATTTTTTTTGTGTGTCTGTAGAGCATCCATTCCATATTACCTGCAGCGTACTCCAGTGAAAAAAATCCAATCTGAGTATGTCCCTTTTATCCCATTGTTTTGTAAGAGAAAAATTGTCTTTAAATTACCTAGTCATAATATGAATAGTATTTTAACTGTTAAACATTAAGTTCATTTACAAATAAACTTAAGTAGTCCAGCCCAGAACTTGTAAATACAAGAAAAATATCCAAAATATTATTCTGAAATAATTACCTATTTCCTAACTTTTTCCAAAAGCTGAATTTCTGTTATTGAAGAATTTTGTGTTGGTTTCCCAGTTATGTCCATAATCCTTGATTTTGTGATTTCAATCCTTCTCTGAAGAAACCAAGAATTTTTCCTAAACAGAAGTTACACTTTTGTATGTTATAATAATGAGGAAGAGCCATAGATAAATACAGTGTGTTTGAGTTATGTTAAATATAAATGAAAAATTATTTGTTATAAGAGAAAGCTTCCAGGGTGAGGGGAGGAAGAAGGGGGAAGAGATAAAGGAGAATTCAAAGATTAATAAAACATTTCAACAAAAAAATTTTTAATGTAAATGAAGATTCCCAACAACTTCTTTAAAATCAGTAGCTCTTTATAGATACTGTTTTATTTTCAATTAAGAGTTCCATTTTTATTAAGAAAAAAAATGAGAGCTATATATTCTTATTTGCATCAAACTTATTGTCTAAACTTTAGTCATTTTTTTCTGCCTCACTTTACTTTCTGTAAAACTAAGATGTTAGTATCTCACAAAGTAGGGCCACTTGTCATTTCATTCATTCAGATGAGGTGCTTTAAAATAGTTGAATGACATTAAAATACATAATTAAAAATATTGATTTGGTAATTTTAGGAATCATAAGTTATCATTTCTGTTTCTATTCTATAACAACGAGTTGCTCATTAACAATATCTTCTTGTACTTGGTATAGTGGAAAGAGCACTGACCTGGGAATCAGGAGATAAAGGATTTAAGTCCTGGCTGTGTCACTGTGTAATCTTGGATAAATCACTTTACATCTCTGAGCTTCTTCAATCAATCAATAAACATTTATTAAGCACCTACTATGGGCCAGTCACTATGCTAAGCATTAGGAATACAACAAGAGGCAAATGACAGTCCCTACCCTCAAAGAGCTTACAATCTACTGGGAGAGACAACTTGTCAACAAATATATACAAGCTGTATACAAGATAAATAGGAAATAATTAACATATGGAATTAAAAGGGATTCAGGAAGGCTTTCTGTAGGAAACAAGGTTTTGATTTGGAATTTAAAGGAAGCCAGAGAGGTCAGTAGTTGGGGCAGAGGAGGGAGAGTATTCCAGGCATGGGGGACAGCCAAAGACAATGCCTGGAGCCAAGAGATGGAGTTTCTTGTTCATGGAACACAGGAGGCTGGTGTCATTGGATTGAAGAGTGTATGTGGGTGGGGGTAGTAAGATATAAGAAGACTGCAAAGGCAGGAGGGGGCTAGGTTATGAAGGGCTTTGAATTCCAAACAGAGCATTTTGTATTTGCTCCTGGAAGCAATAGGGAGCCACTACAATTTATTGAGTGTGTATGTTGGGAGATTGGTGAGGGGAGTGTTGGGGGCTTGACATGGTTGGACCTGTGCTTTAGGAAAATTACTTTGGTGGCTGAATGAAGGACAAATTGGAGTGGTGAGAAACTTAAGGCAGGCAGACCCACCATTAGACTAATGCAATAGTCCAGGAGTGGTGACAGTGTCAGGAAAGAAGGGGGCATATTTGACAGATGTTGCAAAGGTGAAAGTTTGTAAAAGTTTCGATTTCCTCATATGTAAAATGAAGGGGTTAGACAAAATAATATCTGAGGTCTCTTCCAACTCTTAACATTTTGTGGATCTACTTGTTCAGTAGCAAGTTTAATTGTTATCTTTGTGTTAATTCAAACTCCTTTTTTTTGCAAATTAAAGTCACACATTTGCTATAATTTTCTTGTAATTTCTCCATTTGGAGCATTGATAGTTTACAAAATACTTTCCTCACAACAACTCTATGAGATAGATAGTAGAAGAATCATAATTCTCATTTTATGGGTGAGGAAACCAAGGATCAGAGACTTAAAGTGAATTGCCCATGGCCATGTCATAAATGCTTGAACTCAGCTGGGTTTTTTATTTTTAACCCAGTGCTTTTTTTCCTGATACTCTACACTGGCTCTTGATAGTTGTTAAACTACAAATATATAACACCCTAATGTATTTATTTATACAACTCTCTTTATCATGAATTGCTTCCATGTGGATTTTACCTCATTTTTAAAACGAGAAAGGAAATCACAGGAAAAAGGAGAATTTTCTCCGTTTATCTATTTCATTCTTCCTTGTACTTTCCTACTAAAGGCCACAAATCATTCCTTGCATATAGGTACTGGACATACTCAAGAGCCAAAATAAGTTTTGAGAACTGATTAAAAGCCTTTACACAAAGAGATCAAATGTTAACTTCCTAGAATATAAGTCACATACCTGGACTTTACTTGTACAAGCAATCCCATTCCATCCTGTTTCCTGCAACAGGTTGCCCCTTCTGTCATCTTCACTTTCCCTCTTCAGTTTCTCCCTACTGGCTTCTTTCCTGCTGCCTACAGATGTTTGTGCCATGTCTCCCCAGTGCTGAAAAAAAAACAAAAACCCTCACTTGACTTTTCCGTCCCCTCTAACATATTGTCTTTTATCTCTTCTACCTTTTGTGGCTAAACTCTTGGAGAAGGCTGTCTACAATAGGTGCCTTCACTTCTCTTAATCTGTTCTCAACCTCCCTACAATCCAGCCTCATCATTTCACTGAAACTCTCTCTTCAAAGTCACCAGTGATCTCCTGATTGTCAAATCCAATAGCTTTTTATTAACCTTCAGTCTTCTTGATCTCTCTCCAGTCTTCAGTATTGTTAATCACCCTCTTCTCCTTGACACTCTCTTCTTTTTTTTTTTTTTTTCAGCAATTTTAGTCATTTATTACCACATATCTGGTCAGTGTCTGGTATATGCCAAACACACTATTGGACAGGTTGGTATAGTGGGGGAAAAATTGTACTCAGAGTTTTTATAGACTCAACTTCTAATTTTCTTTTTTTGCTAGTATTTTATTTTTCCCAGTTACATGTAAAAACAATTTTAACATTCACTTTTAAAACTTTGAGTTCAAATTCTCTCCTTTCCTCCCTCCCCACCCCCTCAGTTGAGAAGGCAAGAAATTCCATATCGGTTATACATGTATAGTCATGCAAAACACTTCCATCATAGTCATATTGTGGAAGACTAACTATATTTCCCTCCATCCTAATTCCCCTCCTGTTTATTCTATTCTATTCTTTCCTTTCACCCAGTCCCTCCTTAAAAGTGTTTTGCTTTTGACTTCCCCTCCCCCAATCTGCCTTCTCTTCTCTTATCCCCTTTCCCTGCCTACTTTCCTGTAGGGTAAGATAGATTTCTTTACCCAATTGAGTGTGTATGTTATTCCCTCTTTGAGATGAGAGTAAGGCTCACTCACTCCCCCCTCTTCTCCTCCACTGTAAAAGCTTTTTCTTGCCTCTTTTATGCGAGATAATTGACCCCATTCTACCTGTTCCTTTCTCCCAGTACATTCCTCTTACTCCTTAATTTTATTTTTTAGATATTATCCCTTCATATTCAACTCATACCTGTGCCTTCTGTCTATATATATTTCTTCTAACTACCCTAATAATGAGAAAGGTCTTATGAGTTACAAATATCATCTTTCCATGTAGGAATATAAACAGTTTAACTTTAATAAGTCCCTTATGATTTCTGTTTCCTGTTTACCTTTTCATGCTTCTCTTGAGTCTTGTATTTGAAAAGTCAGATTTTCTATTTAGCTCTGGTCTTTTCTCAAGAATGCTTGAAATTCATCTATCTCATTGAATATCCATTTTTTCCCCTGAAGGATTATACTCAGTTTTGCTGGGTGGGTGATTCTTGGTTTTAATCCTAGTTCCTTTGCCCTCCAAAATACCACATTCCAAGCCCCCTGATCCTTAATGTAGAAGCTGCTAAATCTTTTGTTATCCTAATTGTGATTCCATGATATTTGAATTGTTTCTTTCTATCTGCTTGCAATATTTTCTCCTCAACATGAGAACGCTGGAATTTGGCTAAAATATTCCTGGCAGTTTTCAGTTTGGGATTTCTTTCAGGAGGTGATCAGTGGATTCTTTCAGTTCCTATTTTATCCTCTGTTTCTAGAATATCAGGGCAGTTTTCCTTGATAATTTCTTGAAAGATGATGTCTAGGCTCTTTTTTTTAATAATGACTTTCAGGTAGTCCAATAATTTTTAAATTATCTCTGCTGGATCTGTTTTCCAGATCAGTTATTTTTCCAATGAGATATTTCACATTATCTTCTATTTTTCCATTCTTTTGGTTTTGTTTTATGAATTCTTGATTTCTCATAAAGTCATTAGCTTCCATTGCCTCCATTCTAATTTTTAAGGAATTATTTTCTTCAGTGAGCTTTTGGATCTCTTTTACCATTTGACCTAGTCTATTTTTAAGGTGTTATTCAGTATTTTTTTGTGTATCTCCTTTACCACCTTGTTGACTCTTTTTTCATTATTTTGTTGCATCACTCTCATTTCTCTTCCCAATTTTTCCTCCACCTATCTTACTTGATTTTCAAAATCCTTTTTGAGCTCTTCCATGGCCTGAGGCCAGTTCTTGGAGGCTTTGGATATAAGAGCTTTGATTTTGTTGTCTTCTTCTGAATGTGTGTTTTGATCTTCCTTGTCACCAAAATAAGTTTCTATAGTCAGAGTTTTTTTCCATTGTTTGCTCTTTTTCCCAGCCTATTACTTGACTTTTTAACTCTGTGTTAAGGTAGAGCTCTGCAGCTGTTTTCAGAGATACTTCTAGTGACCTGTAAGTTTTCAGTTCTTCCAAGGTGTTGATGATCTAAGGAGAGGTGTTTGCTCCTCTCCTGGCCTGTGCTGCGGTCTGTGAGAGACCGCAAGCACTCTTTTCTGATCTGGAACTGTGAGGAGGGTCCCCTCTCCACTGTTGCTGCAAGTTCTGCTATGCTAGTACTCCTCCTTGCCCCAGGGCTGCAATCCAGATCTAAGTATGGGCAAAGCAATAGAGTCCTGCCTCAAGCAAAGAGACCCCTGTAATCTCCTTCTGACCAGTTGCTCGACCTTCTAACTATCTGTGGGCTGAGAGCTCTGGAAAGCAACTTCTGCCGTTGCTATTTTAGTTGCTCCCAAGGCCTGCTTTTGATTTGGGGCCAGGGTTATGCTCCACAGTCTGTGTTAGACTGTGTTCTTCTCTCACCTAGGTCCAGCAGACCTTTCTTGCTGACCTTCTCAGTTGTCTTTGGCATCTGGGGACTGAAAAGTCTGGAAGCCACCACTGCTGTCAGTGATTCGGTTGCCCTGAGGCCTGCTCTGGGTTTGCTGGGGCCTAGTCTGTGCTGGCATGGCCTATGCTGGACTGTGCTGCTCTCTCACCCTGGTGCGAGAGCACCTTTCCTATTGACCTTGCAAATTGTCTTGGGCTGGAAATTTGTTTCACTCTGTGTTTTTGTGGGTTCTGCTGCTCTAAAATTTGTTTACAGTCATTTTTAAAGGTATTTGGAGGGGTTTGGGGAAGAGCTCAGGCTAGTCCCTGCCTTTACTCTGCCACCTTCGCTCTGCCTCTTGACACTGTCTTCTTTCTAGGCTTTCAGGACACCACTCTCTCCTGGTTTTCCTCCTACCTATCAGACCTCTCCTTCTCCAAGTCCTTTGCTGGATCCTCATCCAGTTACACCTACTAATCTTGGGTGTCCCACAGGGCTCTATCCTGGGTCCCTCTTTTCTTCCTTGTCTGTACTACTTCAACTGGTGATCTCATCAACTCCCTTGGATTTAATTATTATCTCTATGCTGATGATTCTCAAATCTACTTGTCCTGCCCTAACCTTTCTGCTGACCTCCAGTCTCACATCTCTCTTTCAGACATCTCAAACTCAACATATCCAGACTGAACTCATTATCTTTTCCCTCAAGGCCTCTATCCTCCCAAACTTCTGTTACTCTCAAGAGCACCATCATCCCCCCAGTCCCCTAGACTCACAATTTAGGTGTAATCTTTGACTCCTCACTATCTTTCATCCCCTCATATCCAATCTGTTGCCAAGCCCTCTTGATTTCACCTTTGCAATATTTTTCAAATATACTCCCTTCTCTCCTCTGATACTGCCATCACTCTGAAGCAGGCTTTCATGTCCTAATGCTTGGACTATTACAATAGTCCACTGGTGGTCAGCTTCCCTCAAGCCTCCAATCCAGACTGTCCTCCATTCAGTCACCAAAGTCATTTTCCTATAGCACAGATCTCACCATGTCCCCTCCCTACTCAGTACATTTCAGTGGCTCTATATGGCCTCCAATATCAAATGTAAAATCCTCTGTTTGAAATTCGTAGTCCTTCATAACCTAGCCTGCTCCTAGCTTTCCAGTTATACCTTACTCCCCACCACGTACATTCAATCCAGTGACACTGGTTTCCTGGCTGTTCCACAAACAAGACACTCCATCTTTCAGCTCTGGGCATTTTTCTCTAATTGTCCCCCATGCCTGGAATGCTCTCCCTCCCCAACATTGCCTGCTGGCTTCAAGTCCCAACTAAAATTCTACCTTCTACTACAAGAAACCTTTCCCATCCCCTCTTAATTATTCCCAATTGTACATATTTGTGTGCTTGTTGTCTCCCTCATTAGATGGTGAGCTCCTTGAGGACAGAGGCTGTCTTTTGTCTCTTTGTATCCCCAGCACTAAGCACATAGTAGGTGCTTAATAAATGTTTGGTGATCGATTTCAAAAAAAAAAGAAAGAAATATAAGCCATAGAATAAAAAATTTGATGTTGAAAGGGATCTTAAGATATTTTATCCAACAAAGAAACTAAGGCTCAGAGAGGTGACTTTCTCAGGGTCTTACACATAGTAAGAGTCAAGTTGTTAACTCATGTCCTCTTCTTCCTGGTCCAGCACATTTTCCACTATTCCAAATGGTGAAATCCACATCAGATTTTTTTATCTTCATAAATAGCTCTCCCTCTGACCCAAAACCTCCCCTTCACTTTTTTTTTTCCTACAAGCATTTTTAACTCGTAAAAACAGACATGAGAAATTAGAAAAGTCACTAATGGGAAAGGATTCCGTAAGTGAAGCTGCTACTTGAAAAGATAATCACAGAAGTAGACTATATATAGTGGGGCAGAAAGACCCTAACAAGATACAAAGTTAGTAAGTTGGCTAAACTTTGGTAATACAAAGGCAAGATGAGTACATTCGAATGAGGGAGATAGCGTGCTATGTTATATACTATGTACAGAAAAGGTGTACATATAGTGTAAATGAAAGGTAGAAAAGTTCCTTCTCTTTCTTCAGAATAAACAAGGATAAACAGTTTATATGTGATTTTTATATTGCCTGTACAGAGAAGAAGAACTCCTATATCTGAGCTTCATTGAAGATGTAACGGATGAAATTCTGAAACTTGGCTTATTTTCTAACAGGTTAGATTTTTATTATGGTAATAAATGTATCCAGCTGAACAAATAGTAATGTTATTTTTGAAGCATTTCCAAAAATACGTTGGCTAAATGTTAGTACTGCTCAAATTAAGAATGCATCCTGCTTTTCTGTGCATAATTCATCATCTACTGTGTACTTTATAAATTGGTTTGTTTTTAGGGAGATATCTATTGTTTCACAGAGAGATGTGTCAGTTAAGATATATAATAATCTGTTTAGTAGCCTGGCAAGATTGGAATTTGTGAAAATTATCACTTAAAAAGAAGCATCATCCTTTCTACCAAGTGAAGTTTTCTAGCCTTTCTCTAATAAAAATAATCAAATGATGGGGCAGCTAGGTTGTGCAGTGGATAGAGCACCAGCCCTGAAGTCAGGAGGACCTGAGTTCAAATCCAGCCTCAGGCCAGACACTTGACACTTACTAGCTGTGTGACCCTGGGCAAGTCATTCAACCCAATTGCCTTAACAAAAAATTTTTTTTTAAATAATCAAATGATAATGTAAGTGGCATGTAGATGTAATTCTGTTTCTAGGAAAACTTCATTAAGGATATGGCATTTGAGCAGGGTTTTGAAAGCTTTCTACAGTTGTAGATGCCCAGGTAATTTTAGGTACAAAGAACTATGTGGGAGTTATTTGGGGAACAGTGAGTATTCTAGTTTTACCAAATTTAAAGTATAAAAAGTACAACAATATTAGATAAAACTGGAAAATTAAATTGGGCCCAGATGGTGGAAGGCCTTGAATGCCACACAAGGAATTTTGTCTTTTTTAAAGGGGTAGCAGAAAGTTTTTAAGAAGCAGAGTGATATGGTCAGAGCTGTGCATTAAAAATATTAGTCTTATAGCATTGTATAAGTAACATGGAGGGAAGAGAAATTAGAGGCAGGTTGTCTAGTTGAGAAGACTTTTGCAAAAACTGAAATAAGAAGTATAATGTCACTAGAAATAAAAAGTGTTCCGGTCCTTGCCTAGGCAAACCCAGAAGTGAGGATGGTGGTAAATGCCTTGGTATATCCTACCCTAAATTCCACTTACTGCTCTGTCATACTGGACTTTTAGTATTTCTTCTTGATCTTTTGTTGACAGTTCACTTTTATCTTGACCTCTGGCTTGTTTTCAGTGTATTGATGAATTGAGCACAAACAATTAAAGACAGCATCATCAGGAAGGGAATCTATTGGGGAGATATGGGGTGCTAGAATGTGTGAGATTTTTTTTAATGGGTAAGTTAGGAGAAGCAAGAGGAAGTGGAAGAAGGAAAAGTTTAATATGACCACAAAGTTTTGTGCCTGGGTGACTTGGAAGATGGTTATTACCTTTAGTAGAAATGAAGTAGTCAGAAAGAAGATGATGAATCTGATTCTGGAAATGTTCTGTTTAATTAATATAATTAGTTCAGTTAGTTTCCTGAATATATTTTTTTGCTTTACAACTTGAACATGTAAAATCCATGAGTACTTAGATCTCAACATTGGGAGAAATGTCAGAACAGGGATGAGAAAAACATGAATGAACAATTTCATTAATTAGTAAAACTACTAATAAAGATTAATTTACTAATTACTAGCTATTTTAAAACATTACCAACATAGTTACAAAAACAAAGGCATCTCCATAGTTCTTTCCAATCCTCTTTTTTTAGTTAATATGTGTATGTAAAATGTATACCCAATTGGATTGTGCCTTGTGTGTTTTAAGTTAATTCATTTTGAGACCGTGACTTTTTCTCTTTGTCATTTATAGGGTTTTAGAGAGATTGTTTGAGCGTCATATAGAACAAAATAAACATCATTTGGAGGAGGTTTGTTTTTTATAGTATTACTTTATAAAAATCTGAATAAATTATTTTAAAGGTTTTCTTCTCCCCCTGCCCCCCCACTGCCACTCCCACTTCTACCACCCTCAAGGACCTTTTATAAAACAGTCTTGGGAAAGATTTCAGGGGGAGCTTTCTATTCTTGCAGCTGTCACCTTATTCAGATGATTATGCTTCTTACTAGTGCTGCATATTTCAAGCTTTTGCTTAGACTCTATAGATGAAGAGAGTAAATTAATAAAATCATTTTCTCCTTAATTCTAGAAGAAAATGCGCCATATGCTTCATGTCTTGAAGGTCGATTTAGGCTGCACTACTGAGAAAAAACCTGAAAAACTAAATGGTACCCTTAATATGTCGAATTTGTTTGATTTTGAAAAGCTTGGAACTCCAGGAGAAATACAATTAACAGATGAAAATGAAATCACAGTGTCTCCTTCTAAAATGGAAGAACACCAAAAACCTCTGGATTTACATGATAAAACTCTGGATGCAGATTTGACCTATAAGGAAATGGCATACACTTCCCCAAGCCATACCTCACAGCTCAGCTCTAAAGATAAGTATTCAGAAGACAGTGTTAATGGGCAGGTGATTAGTGAAACAAATCTTGAACTATCAGCACAGTCTGAAGAACCAAGTGTTTCCTACACCACCTCAGACCCAGTATCCCCTACAGAGTCCTCTGAAGAAGGTGATAATGACCTTGAAAAAACAGAGTCTTTAAGTGCTTTGGGCAAAACACACTCAGAAAAGTGCGTTCAGAATTCCATTAAGAAAGATAATGATCATGATGCAAAAGAACCAACTTCCAAACTCACTGAAACAATCAATGAGCAATATCCCTTGGATAACTGTTAGTTAATAAATACTCCAAATGGCTAGCGAATCATTCTTTGTCTCTCCCTCTGTCATATTTTGAAACTGATGAAATTTTTCATGCAAGAGAACAAGTTTTCATAAATGATCTGTATACCAATGTACCACAGTATTCCAAGTAATTGGATGTGAGGGATGGTCTGATGCCAGCTACTGCCAGATGGGGGTTGTGCCAACATGGGACAGAAACTGGGTACCAGAAAGTAACTGGAGCTCTTGCTCCTGAGGCAGAGGCGGTGCTGGGCAGAGTTGTAACGTACTGGGATGAGATCTGGGCTCGGAGAGGTAACCAGAGCTCTCGCTCCCAAGACTGGAGCGGTGCTGGATGGAGCTGTGACAGGCTGGGGAGGAAGCGGGGTACAGGGAAGTGGCTGGAGCACGCGCTCCTGAGGCGAGGACTGTGCCGCTTGGAGGGGGATGACAGAGAACGAGCTCTCTCTGTCTAGCCTCCTTCTTTAGGTACTACGCTGACCCCAGACGCCTCCTTCCTGTGACCAAACCTGACTTCCTGAGTCACGTATGCTCCCTAGGTGTAGCACCGACCCCAGACACCTCCCCCCCCCCCCCCCCCC